CTTTCGAACTGCTAGGTTGGCAGGAGCAGGGACTGAGCAACAGGAGCTCACCCCATGGTGGGGATTCGAATCGCCGACCTTCTGATCGGCAAGCCCTAGGCTCTGTGGTTTAACCCACAGCGCCACCTGCGTCCCCTAAGGGAAGTCATTTTGTTGTTTAGTTGTTTAGTCGTGTCCGACTCTTCGTGACCCCATGGACCAGAGCACGCCAGGCACTTCTGTCTTCCACTGCCTCCCGCAGTTTAGTCAAAAGGGAAGTCATAGTCCTACTCTATTCTGCCTTAGCCAGACCACACTTGGAATACTGTTCCCAATTCTGGGCACCACAATTTAAGAAGGATGTTGACAAGCTGGAATGTGTGCAGAGGAGGGCGACCAAGATGATCAAGGGTCTGGAAACTAAGCCTGATGAGGAGCAGTTGAAGGAGCTGGGTATGTTTAGCCTGGAAAAGAGGAGACTGCGAGGTGATAGGATAGCCATCTTCAAATATCCGAAGGGCTGTCTCCTGCTCTGGAGGGTAGGACTCAAACCAATGGCTTCAAGTTACAGGAAAGGAGATTCCGACTCAACATCAGGAGGAACTTTCTGACAGTATGAGCTGGAACGGTTTCCCTTGGGAGGTTGTGGACTCTCCCTCCTTGGAGGTTATTAAGCAGAGGTTGAACGGCCATCTGTCATGGATGCTTTAGCTGTGATTCCTGCATTGCAGGGGGTTGGACTAGATGATCCCCAGGGTTCCCTTCCAACTCTACAATTCTATGATGGCTGGGAGTTTGTTAAGAGGGAGATAGTAAAAGCACAACTTCAGGCAATACCAATGAGACGGAAACATGGAAGGTGCCTAAAGAAGCCAGGGTGGCTGTCTAAAGAACTTTTAACTGAGTTAAGATTAAAAAAGGATGTGGACAAAAAATGGAAAAGGGGGGAAACCACCAAAGAGGACTTCAAACAAATAGCCAGCACGTGTAGACACAAAGTCAGAAAAGCTAAAGCACAGAATGAACTCAGGCTTGCTAGAGAGGTTTAAAGCAACAAAAAGGCTTTTATGGGTATGTTCGTAGCAAAAGGAAGAACAAAGAAACAGTGGGGTCACTCAGAGGAGAAGATGGTGAAATGCAAACAGGGGACACAGAAAGGGCTGAACTCCTCAATGCCTTCTTTGTGTTGGGATTCAAGCCTTTATCAGGAGAAACTGGCCACTCTCCAGGCACCCGGCTTGATCTCCTGTTGACCTCCCTGTCTGCATTCCCGGCAGGATCCAGGCTAGGTCGCGATAGGCGATCCTCCTCAGCGTGAGAAGAACACACCCCCCCTCTTTCCTGCCCCCCCTGGGCAGGGGAGAGAGATAGACAGAAACGTATTTACATGCCTTTATTTCTGTCTTTGCAGCGTTACAAAAATCATGTCTACTCTCTTCAAGCTTCTGCAGTCGAGAGACAAACTCCTCCTGTACTTCCTGTACAGCTCATATTACACTCTGAGCTAATTCCAGTGCCCTCTGCACTGTGAATTGACTGTCCCTCTGTTTCCCACGGAACAGTCCCAACATTCCCATTATGTTTTGCTTTCAAGCTATCAGCTCGCGGCCGCATTGCTTCTATATCGTAACACTTTGCCTCAGTCTTCTCCGATAAAGAAAACAATGCCCGACCTGAAGAATTTGGAGCAAATGATTCAGCAGAGGAAACACAGCCCAGAATAACTAAGGAGATAGTACAAGAATACTTGGCTAGTTTAGATGTATTCAAGTCTCCAGGGCCAGATGAACTGCATCCAAGAGTATTAAAAGAACTGGCAGATGTGATCTCAGAACCACTGGCAGTCATCTTTGAGAATTCCTGGAGAACAGGCGAAGTCCCGGCAGACTGGAGGAGGGCAAATGTTCTCCCTTTTTTTTCAAAAAGGGGAAAAGAGAGGACACAAATAATTATCGCCCAGCCAGTCTGACATCAATACCAGGGAAGATTCTGGAGCAGATCATTAAGCAAACAGTCTGTGAGCACCTAGAAAGGAATGCTGTGATCACCAATAGTCAGCATGGATTTCTGAAAAACAAGTCATGTCAGACTAACCTGATCTCATTTTTTGACAGAATTACAAGCCTGGTAGATGAAGGGAACACAGTGGATGTAGCCTACCTTGATTTCAGCAAGGCATTTGACAAGGTGCCCCATGATATTCTTGTAAAGAAGCTGGTAAAATGCGGTCTTGACTATGCTACCACTCAGTGGATTTGTAACTGGCTGACTGACCGAACCCAAAGGGTGCTCATCAATGGTTCCTCTTCATCCTGGAGAAGAGTGACTAGTGGGGTGCCACAGGGTTCTGTCTTGGGCCCGGTCTTATTCAACATCTTGATCAACGACTTGGATGATGGACTCAAGGGCATCCTGATCAAATTTGCAGATGACACCAAACTGGGAGGGGTGGCTAACACCCCAGAGGACAGGATCACACTTCAAAACGACCTTGACAGATTAGAGAACTGGGCCAAAACAAACAAGATGAATTTTAACAGGGAGAAATGTAAAGTATTGCACTTGAGCAAAAAAAATGAGAGGCACAAATACAAGATGGGTGACACCTGGCTTGAGAGCAGTACATGTGAAAAGGATCTAGGAGTCTTGGTTGACCACAAACTTGACATGAGCCAACAGTGGAGCCAATGCAATTCTGGGCTGCATCAATAGGAGTATAGCATCTAGATCAAGGGAAGTAATAGTGCCACTGTATTCTGCTCTGGTCAGACCTCACCTGGAGTACTGTGTCCAGTTCTGGGCACCACAGTTCAAGAAGGACACTGACAAACTGGAACGTGTCCAGAGGAGGGCAACCAAAATGGTCAAAGGCCTGGAAACGACGCCTTATGAGGAACGGCTAAGGGAGCTGGGCATGTTTAGCCTGGAGAAGAGGAGGTTAAGGGTTGATATGATAGCCATGTTCAAATATATAAAAGGATGTCACATAGAGGAGGGAGAAAGGTTGTTTTCTGCTGCTCCAGAGAAGCGGACACGGAGCAATGGATCCAAACTACAAGAAAGAAGATTCCACCTAAACATTAGGAAGAACTTCCTGACAGTAAGAGCTGTTTGACAGTGGAATTTGCTGCCAAGCAGTGTGGTGGAGTCTCCTTCTTTGGAGGTCTTTAAGCAGAAGCTTGACAACCATATGTCAGGAGTGCTCTGATGGTGTTTCCAGCTTGGCAGGGGGTTGGACTCGATGGCCCTTGTGGTCTCTTCCAACTCTATGATTCTATGATTCTATGACTAGGTGGGTCTTTGGTCTGATCCAGCAGCCAGGCTTTTCTGATGTTCTTTTTTCCTGCCGTAAATCTTCTCAAGCCTGGAACTGGCCCTGAACAAACTTATCTCTCCATTCACCTTTCTACTTTTGCTAAAAAAAACAACGTTTCCCACTGTGCTGGTCACTAAGTTTACCTTCAAGCCTTGGCGAATGCTGCAGGCGTGCGTGAGAGCTCACAGAATACACCGAGACAGTTATGCTGTCCGCCGCACGCCTAATGAAAATTTACTGCCACGAAACACTCATTACTGCTAACAAAGCAAAGAGAAGCAGCTCGTTTTATGTTCCATAAATGACTGAGATGTTCATCTTCCCCCAGAGTGATGGAATAAAAATAAAATTAAGCTGATGAGGATCATTTTCCTCTTCTAAAATAATCATTTCTGGCCACTGGATCACAGGTGTTTTCGCATTTCAATTTATCCCTTAATTACGTTTTTCCTTTTCAGAATTTTTCCCTCTGACTTCGAGTGTCATGATTCATCCATCTCTCCTCCTGACTGCTTTGCCAGACTCAGCAACAAGCAAACGTGGCCAAAAAAAGGGGGGTGGGAATGTTCAGGGATGCAGGAGAAGATATATTGTCTGATTATATCCTTTTCCAACTTGTGTTAACAAGTTCCACAATTTAGCAGAGTAACATTCCCCCTTTTAAACTTGCAGTGGATGCGTTTGCTCAGGCTCGCTAAAGCCTCTATAATAACTGTTCTGGTATTTTCCCCTTATTCCCTCATAAAAAATAAGACACAACACAGTCTTCTATAAAAGTATAAGAAGAGTTTACTCACATATCATTCTGTTCACAATAGGATCCCAGAAGGCAGTCTTAGCTTAGAAAAGTAACATACACCTGGAAACTATCTCATAAGAAGACAGTCCCTTTGTCCTCTCTTGACTGGAAGCCAAGAGGGCATCTTTGGCTAAGCAGATGTTGCTTCTTCGGTGCATGTAGACAAAATAGAGAGAGATGGCTGCCCTGCCCTGTGCTTTTGTTGTTACCGGCACAGGTGAGGCCACGCCCACCTCTAGCCACATGCAGAGGAAGTCTGTCCCAGCCCAGAAGGAAACAGGAAGTTTACCTGCTGGCTGGACAAGCGTTCCTCCCCATGTTTAAACATGTTCACTCTAGGAATGTTGTACAGTGGTGCCCCGCAAGACGAATGCCTCGCAAGACGGAAAAACCGCTAGACGAAAGGGTTTTCCGTTTTGAAGTTGCTTCGCAGGACGAATTCCCCTATGGGCTTGCTTCGCAAGACGAAAATACCTTGCGAGTCTAGAAATTTTTTTTTCGCTTTCCCCCCCCTTTATCTAATCTGCTAAGCCTTTAATAGCCTTTAATAGCCTTTTAGCAGCTAATCCCCTAAGCCTTTAAGCCTTTAATAGCCGCTAAACAGCTGATAGCGCTAATAGCGCTAATCCGTCAATGGGCTTGCTTCGCAAGACGAAAAAACCGCTAGACGAAGACTCTTGCGGAACGGATTAATTTCGTCTTGCGAGGCACCACTGTACTTGACTGCTCTTGTGTTTCACATCCCACAGTGGGATCTCAAGATAATACAGGCTTGGTTAATGCACGTGGGAAGATCTGAGATGCTAAATAGGACCCACGTCAGGCTGGTGGTAGAGATGGGCAACTCTTGTTAGTTTGGGTTGCTCTGCATTGCTCATTTCTCCAGTCTCAGCCTCAGTTCTCCTCGTTTCCACATTAGCTTAGTGGCTGAGCATTTGTCTTCCATGCAGAAGGTCCCAGGTTCAAGTCTCGGCACCTCCAGGTAGCCCTGTTTGTTTCAGCAGGTGAGGTGGCGCATGACAGGCCCAAGACAGAGGCCATCAGGACAGTTGCTCTAGCTGGGATTCCTGCATTGCAGGGGGTTGGACTAGATGACCTGTGGGGTCCCTTCCAACTCTACAATTCTATGATTTTATGTGAAAGCCTAAGAGGGATCTCTGACTTGCAACCTATGGCCGGCTTTGCCAATTTGTCTCACGCAGACGTTGCAAAGCCAGCTTTCTGGTCCTTTGCCACCAGCCTTCCGAGATCTCTGGCAAGCCGCTCAGCAACCTATTTGAAAACGTCCATCACAAACACAATGTTCGCTGCTCTTCTTTTGTCCTGCATCTCCCAGGAAGAGACTGCCCCTCTTCTCTCTCTTTTTTTCCCACGTTGGAAATTATTTTTTATCAGTACAACCTGAAAGCCTGTTAGCAGAGTCTTTCCTTCTTTCTCCTTCTTTCTCTCCCCCCCCCTTTTCAAAAAAGCTTCTTACCCGTAGAAGTACAGATTTAATCTGACGCGAAGCTCACTAATGTGTTTGGACGAGGCCATCTCATTAGCGTTGCAGCACTCCCCGTGCCTTAGTGAGCTCAAGAACAGTCTGAGGACGGAATGTGCTTTGCAGACTCCGAAGTTGCGTTTTGCACGTGACCCGGTTCTGGGGGAATTTTCCAACGGGAGCTCAAAGGAAGGGCCCAGGGCAAAATCTATGGGCTTTCTCTAAAGGACATATCAGGTGAGGCCTGTTACCTCCTGTGTTTCTTCATCTGCATTTAACACCCCGGGAGGGTCTGCTTGTGTCGAGAGCATTAGCAGTGATGGTGATCAGAGGAGAAATAAATGGGACATGTGTCACCCCTCTCTAAGAGCCATTTTCATTAGGTTTGTGCAACCAAAGTTTGCTGAAAACTTTCTTTTTGTTTCAGAAAACCTATGCAGAAACATAAATTAGTTACTTGTGTTCTTTCAATTTGATCTGTGTTTGGATGAAGATGGTTTTAAGTTTTTATGATGAGGGTTTCATGTACAGTTGCTCCATCCTCCTTGTGGCAGCCCTTGAGATATTTGAAGGCACCTATTCTATCTCCTCTCAGTCTCCTCTTTTCCAGGTCAATCATGCCCAGCTCCTTCAACCGTTCCTCATCAGGCTTGGTTTCCAGACCCCTGATCATCTTGGCTGCCCTCCTCTGCGCACCTTCCAGCTTGTCAACATCCTTCTTAAACCGTGGAGCCCAGAACTGGACACAGTATTCCAGGTGTGGTCTGACCAACGCAGAATAGAGTGGTACTATTACTTACCTTGATCTGAACACTATACAGTGGTACCTCGGGTTAAGTACTTAATTCGTTCCGGAGGTCCGTTCTTAACCTGAAACTGTTCTTAACCTGAGGTACCATTTTAGCTAATGGGGCCTCCTGCTGCGCTGCCACCGTGCAATTTCTGTTCTCATCCTGAAGCAAAGTTCTTAACCCGAGGTACTATTTCTGGGTTAGCGGAGTCTGTAACCTGAAGCGTATGTAACCCGAGGTACCACTGTATATTTGAGGTATAGATAAATATGCAATATGAGATTCTCCGATACATTCTTATATAAATTGATATAGTGTCACTATCCTAAGACCTACGTAGATGTTTATGTTGTTTGTTGTGGTTTAGTCGTGTCCGACTCTTCGTGACCCCATGGACCAGAGCACACCAGGCACTCCTGTCTTCCACTGCCTCCCGCAGTTTGTCAAACTCATGTTGGTAGCTTCGAGAACACTGTCCAACCATCTCGTCCTCTGTTGTCCCCTTCTCCTTGCGCCCTCCATCTTTCCCAACATCAGGGTCTTTTCCAGGGAGTCTTCTCTTCTCATGAGGTGGCCAAAGTCTTGGAGCCTCAATAGCCTGCTACATTCTGTATAAACTCATTCCAGATGTTATCATATTTACATACCCTCCAACATTTCTCCGATGAAAAAGGGACATTCCATTCCATAATGACATTTTTTCTATTTGTACCCCACACATCTTGCTGGGTTGCCCCAGCCACTCTGGGCAGCTTCCGACATATATGAAAACACAATTAAACATTTAAAGAACCTTCCCTATACAGGATTGCCTTCAGACGGCTCGGGGGTTGGATAACTCCATACCCTCCAACATTTATCCAATGAAAATAGGGACATCCTAAGGAAAAGTGGGACATTCCGGGATCAAATCAGAAATCGAGACGGCTTCTTTAAATCAGGGATATCCTTGGAAAATAGGGACACTGGGAGGGTCTGTATTTATCTAAACAAAGTCTGCGTCTGTAAGAAGTCCGTTCATAAGTTGCGAGTTGCTGGGAAAGAAAACTTCAAAAATGTGAAATTTCGGCACAGCCTGAATTCCGCTGCCTCTGCACTGCTTATAACAGGAGCATGCATTCAGTCCTTTTCGATGCAAAGCAGTTGGAAGATGATCAATCCACAGAAGAGGCTGTCGTTTGCTTCTTTGCGTGAGTTCTGGACTTCCCTTCTTCCCATTAGGAGGCCAGAATTTCATGTAGCAGCACAGCAGATTGGGCTCCTCTGAAGGCAGGAGATTCTGACTTATCACACCCCTGGCATGTTTGTAGGTGTCAGATTGAAGTGTGATTCTAATTTTAATTCTGGAAAGGGCGCGAGGGAAGATCGTGCTTCAGCTATCAGAAGTTTGGGAACCATTTGAGCCAATGGTTGTCTCTTTGCAATCTTTTTTAAATAAATAAATAAAAAAAAAGCCTTCCATCTCGCACAGCTGGTGCTTTCTGGCTCAGTTGAATAGAGAAAAGTTGCTATAAGGGAATAGCTCTTAATTGGGCTGTGTTCAATATTTTAATTAGATTTACGTAGGAGCATGCCACAGCGCTATTCTGGCAGTCAATCACATGAAGTGGTTTGGGGCGAATTTTTTTTTTTGGGGGGGGGGGAGGTGCGCAATGCAAAACAAAACAAAATTCTTAGTAAGATTTTTTTAAAAAATTCAATTACCTCTGAAGACTTTATATTCCTTAAACATGAAAAGGAGACTTTTAACATGATTAATAGTGTTCTTTGAAAGGATGAAAGCTTTGTTTAATAATTAACATGTCAGAATGCTCCGTTTTGCAATATGACTTAATATCTGAGTACTTTGGTTCCAAAATGCATTGAACGACAAGCTTCTCAGGAAGAAACTTGAAAAAGATGAGGTGGATTTTAATTACAAGGCGAGGAGCCCAAGTTTCCCCTCTCTCTTAGCCAGATCAACTCAGCAGAACTGTTGTTCCTTGAAACAAAATAAAAAAATTCCTTCCAGTAGCACCTTAGAGACCAAGTAAGTTTGTTATTGGTATGAGCTTTCCTGTGCATGCACACTTCTTCAGATACACTAAACGTTTGTCTATTCAAATAAAATACCCCTGCTATGCAAAAATCTCCAAATGAATCTGAACTTCAATGTTTAAAATCACTGGTAGAGGACAAGGATCCTGAGATCACGTTAAGGGTAGCCAAATTCTGTGCAATTGTCATAAAACTTAGGGAACAAACTGTGCTATCATAATGATTAAGGCCTTAAATGATAATTTTAGGTTATATGTTAGTGACTAAGTTTTAACTGTTGCTATATCTGTATTGTCCCTGTTATACCTAATTGCAAATTCAAATGTATCCCTATCGTGTTTTATGACTTCCTTGATATTGTATGTGGGCTGGAACTGGTCTGTGACCGAAATAATAAAATTCATTCATTCAGATACACTGAAACAGAAATCACTAGACCCTTATATATAGTGAGAGGGTGGGGAAGGGTATTACTCAGACAGGTGGTGGGAATGGGTGATTGGCTGATAGGTGTGGTAAACCTGTTGACTTAACAACTGCAATTGGTTTTGCAGGAAAAAGCAAGGTGTGAGATGGCTAAAAATAGCTTTATCATGTATAATGAGATAAGAATCCAATGTCTCTATTCAGACCAGGTCTCTCCATGGTTTTAAGTTTGGTAGTAAGTTGCAATTCAGCAACTTCTCTTTCCAGTCTACTTCTGAAATTCTTTTGTAATAAGACAACTACAGGTACTTTGAGATCTTGTGTAGAATGTCCTGGGAGATTGAAGCATTCCTTGGAAACATCTTGCAATGCAAGAAGGTTGGGTCACTGAGGAGCAACCCTTTCCTAATTTTGCAAATGAGGAAGAAGCAGTTTTGGATTATGCCTCAATGGGGAGAGAAACCTGTTTCCGTTAGCACTGAAAGGCAAAAATCTGCACTTTCTAAAACAATATGTGAACCAAAACACAACCATACTTTGAAATTTGGGACTTTTCTGAATCCTGCAGTGCAAATGTGTGGGAAAAAATGTGTGGAAAATATTTGACAAGATTATTCACCATAGTTGAGTGCCTTATTTATCAGCTGACCACTGCATGAGATTTGGGGGTCCAATTCTTACAAAAGCACTTCAATTAACTAATTGCCATGTGAACGTTCAGATTTCACCTTTGAAATTGGGGATTCAGATATGAAAGGGGAGAGTGGGGGGGAGGGAGAGAGAAAGAAAGAGAGAGGTCAAAACTCTCCACTATGACCTGTCCATCACCTTGCCAACAAAGGTCCATATAGTTAAAGCTATGGTTTTCCCAGTAGTGATGTATGGAAGTGAGAGCTGGACCATAAAAACGGCTGATCACCGAATAATTGATGCTTTTGAATTATGGTGCTGGAGGAGACTCTTGAGAGTCCCATGGACTGCAAGAAGATCCAACCTCTCCATTCTGAAGGAAATCAGCCCTGAGTGCTCACTGGAAGGACAGATCCTGAAGCTGAGACTCCAATACTTTGGCCACCTCATGAGAAGAGAAGACTCCCTGGAAAAGACCCTGATGTTGGGAAAGATGGAGGGCACAAGGAGAAGGGGACAACAGATGGCTGGATAGTGTGCTCGAAGCTACCAGCATGAGTTTGACCAAACTGCAGGAGGCAGTGGAAGACAGGAGTGCCTGGCGTGCTCTGGTC